TGTACCCCGGCCTACATCAGCAGGAAAGTGACAGAATGGGTAACCTGCAACTTTTTTATAGACTAAGAAAACAAAAGGAGATTTTTATTATTCAATTTTTTTTTCATGTCTAGTTTCTATGTTTCATATGTCCTTATTATGCAGTTGCAGAGTTAAATTGACACATTTAGTGAGTTCATAGTGAGTTCACAGAATCATAGAATGGCTTGGGTTGGAAGGGACCCTAGAGTTCATCTAATCCAACCTCCCTGCCATGGGCAGGGATGCCTCTGAACAAGACTAGGTTGCTCAAGGCCTCATCCAGCCTGGCCTTAAACAACTCCAGGGAGGGGGCATCCACAATCTCTGGGCAATCTAGTCCAGAGTCTCACCACACTCATACTAAAGAACTTCTTCCTAAGATATAGTCTAAAGTTCATACTGTCAGATGCAGTACACTGAACAGAACAGTCACTTTTGCCCTCTTCTACACGGATCATTAAGCAGCAGAGGCAGTTTCAAAATTTTAATGCCAAAATAGTTTTTTGGATTGGCAGTTCTACATAAATACTGTACGTTTCATGACGTTGACAACATATTAACCACTAGCCATCCTCTCTTTGTGTTAGAACAGCTTTTGCAGCCACCTACCCTACTTGTCAAATGTAAGAGTTATGAGTTCCTACTCTTTAACAGTTTATTCCACAAATGCAAAGAACAGTAAAATTAACATACTAGGTACAATTTTTTAAATTGTCACACATGACTACAGTCATATGAAGAAATGTATCATTGTCTTCCTGCTTTGTTTTAGCTGGTCTCTGTTTTTCAGATATCAAACAAGTAATTCTTCTTGGCTGTGTATTTGGAATCGTTGGTCTTGCAGTCCTGGCACGTCTGACTTTCTTATGTAGAAAGGAGAGGTAAGACTCAGTTGAACTGAAAATGCAAATTAACCTGCTAAGGAAATAGCAAGTGTCATGACCTTTTAAATCATTTTTTTAATGACAAAACAAATGGTATTTTCCTGCTGCTATCTTTCATGAAAAACATCAAGCCTGGATAATCCTTGTGTGCTGCTGGAAGACTATGAAGCAAAGTTGGAGTTGTATTATCAGGACACACAGGCATGTGGCTGATGGATTTATTCATTCATTCATTCATTTAGAAGGAACAGGACTTTTTGGTCAAAATAATATGTTTGTTGAGTGATTAGGCTACCTGATGTGAGAACAGGTGTGCTCATGATACTAGTAGGTAAATTTGATGTATCATCTAAGGAATATCTTGTGTGATACTGTAAGTTTCCACATACCTTTGAACATATTCCCAGTTTTAGGCATGAATGAATTTGCTTAGAGAATGCTGATATGTTTTGTATGCTAAAGAGGCGTACAGTATTTTAAAGATCTATTAGTTTGCAGCCCATTCTTGGAACCTTTCCACCTCACAAAAATAAACTTGCTATAAAAACGATTACATTTTAAAAAGAAATCTCTACAAAATTTTATGTGGCTAGTAAATTAATTCTTTGAGTTTTTAGTTCTTTGTTTTAAAATGTTATTATGATTTCATGTGTTCTGTATATAATTCATGCTGTTTGCCAGTGCTATCAAGATATCAAAAGAAATCTTTTTGGCTCCATGCCATTCTACCAGGTTCATCCTTGCAGAGACTCTTGAAACAGAAGCCAGCATGACAGCCATGTCCATCACTGAAAATACCCCCCATTGTTTCTGAGCTCAATCATCAATTAACTGTGTCTATCAGAATGTCAGAGACACTGCTAAATTTTGCCCCTTCCCTTTAAGTCAGATAAGCATTTTTTCCTGTACTTCACAGAGAACTGTCATATGCAAAACACTTTTTCTTCCTCCCCTTTACAAAAGAAAAAAGGATACACAACACAGGGCAGATGACTTCAGCAATTAATGTTTTTTGCCTACATAAAAATGCATAAAGGACATATCCTGCATTTACCAAATTTTACACAGATCACATTCCCAGATATAAAACCAGCTGGTTTAAAATACTACCATTGCAGCTGCATATTTTCACATTTGGGAGCAGCTTACAGAACTGCTACTCTAAACTCAGCCTTCTACATCAAAAACTAATTAAAGCAAGGCAGAATGAAGCCATCAACACTTCTTGTATATTTTGCAAGCAGGTAATTTTTATATACTACCAAAAACTTACCACTGATAAAAAAATTTTGAGAGAGTTGAATAAAGTCCATAGCACTCAGCAAGGCTGTATATTTGGATAGCAATAGAGGATGCTGTCTTTTATATAGCAGTAACAAATTTTGAACAGATAAATTTTAACTAGGGAAGGCTTATTAGGCAGTTACTGAATCATGAAGGTCTGTAATCTAATGTATACCCTTCCGGATCTCAGGGTAAATACAATTCTATGACAAGTCATATGTTTTATATAGGAAAGGAAAGAAATAGTCCTACATAATGTAGCTCTTTGAATACCTCTGCTTCTGCATCAAATTCTGACAATCAGCCAGAAAAGGAGCTTCTCTCAGCCTTCACAGCTAGGAGCTGTATTTCATACTAAGACAGAGTGAAGTACCTTAAAAAGCAGCAAGGCCAATAGAAATACACAAAAATTCTAAGCATTGAATACTATATACTTTTAGATTTGTTTCTCCTTTAACAAACAGAAAATCAAGTAGGGGTTATATTTTCAAGATTTCCCCAGCCACCTTTCTATCCTAAAAATGAATTATAAGTTTCTCAGATAATCACATGATTCTATGGGTGAAGATCGAGGGGTAGGAGCGAGAAGGGGGCGGAGGGGTGGAATTACAGTATTTAGGATAAAAATTGCAGGAAATCAAAATACCAAGGTGCTCAGTAAATTGGTTTATGCTTTTCTTTCATAGTTTTTGAGGGTTGCTAGGTGGTCACAAGCCTATGTATTAATATATTGGTGATAAGTTTCTCTTATAAAAAAAAAAAAAAGCCAATATAAAGTCCAGCTTTTACTACAGAATCCTGAGTTCTCTGCTCACTCAGATGTTTTTCCCTCTGTCTTTTTTAAAGTCAAACCCCAACCTTCTTTCCAGACCCTTCATTGTCAGTGTTTTCAAACTAGTGACATTTGCCCAGTTTCTCCTTTCGCTCCTATAATTTAGGCCATCAGAACAGAAATAGATCGTTGCATAGGGATAGCAGCAAACCTTCAGTATTCTCTGATTTCATCAAATGTTACTCAAATAGCAGGAGTGCTACATATCCTTCAGACACTACATTTGGTAATTTAAGTATTTGGAGTCCTCAGTAGTGTATAGCAGGTGAGGGACGTTGTTCATTGGAAGAGGTATGCAGTAGAATTAGAGAGAGCAGGTATTTTAAAAATTTGTGCAGCATTACTATTCCACCTAACCCAATATTCTTCTGATCTTGATCTGAACAGTGATATCATGATAGCTACTTAAACAGTCAACTCTAACCTTTTGGGCTTTATAAAAAATTTTTGTATTTGTCTTTTCTTCCAAAGGCACAAAGGCAACCAGAAACTTGTTTCAGAGGTTCCAGTTGTATCTGAACAAGAAACAATGAAATTCCAGAGGAGTTTTTAATGAAATACAGAAAAAGCATAGCAGAGGTTCAGATCATCCACAGCAACAGAGGTAGCCTCTCCAAACACAAACAATGATTTTAGATACGCTATCATTTGATTCCTGCTTTCAGTATAATGAGTAATGAATTGTATGGAAAATGCTAACCAGCTTCCTGGGACTATATCATGGCAGGTTCAGCCTACTGCCTATCACGAGCAGAGAGTAATGCGTCGGTCTCATAGTTTTGTCTAACAGCCACATCTCTGCCAGCAAAACCAGAGTTCCGAGGAAATAAAAAAAAGTTGATTTCTCTGCACTTTTCCCCTTTTCCTTGAAAGCTGGTAGAATGAAAAGAATCCTAGCCTCCTATGCTAGCTGTTGTCAAAGAAACATTTGCCTTCTCTGGGGCCATGCATAGCTGATTTAGATAGATGTGAAAGTGGATGCACAGTCAGAGGGACTACAGACATGTCAGGTTGAATTTGCAGATTGTTGGGATTTGTTTTAGTAGGGAGGGAGAGATGTTGTAAGATATTAAAACATTGCATTCTTACATTTTGGCAAGTCTCTGAATACAGAGTCAAAGTGGCATTTGTGTTTCAGTTCTGGCCTGATTTTAGAAGGATACAGCTAGGGGTTTGGGGGAGAAGTACTTAAGAAAGATGTATAATAATTTCTTAAAAATCTGTCTTTTTTCAACTGCCCATAGGCAGTTTAGATTAGGGTCTATCTTCAAAACAAAAAAAACCCTGTTATCTGCACTGGAAATGTTTTGCAATACTCTCAGCGCTGTCCTCAAATAACTGCAATGTGCATACTCTTACATTTTTAATATCTAGCTGTATTACAGTGTCTCATTATCTTTATTAAAAAGTGATTTCTGAACTGCTACCTTGTACAGAATACTCTTAACAAGAAAAATCACCATTTACTTTTGCCTATGTCCCATAGGGTTTGTGAAGTCAGTTCTGTGTTATGTAGCTCTTTTTGATAGTGAAAGAATTACTTGCAGGTTATTTGGTCTGGTTTTCTAAGGTCTTTAATATATAAAACTACTGGAAAATTATGCTGCTTTCAAAAAGCAAAGACAAACTATGTATCAAATGTACAGGAAAACTAAATGAGTGAAACAATATAATAGTAACAAGACAGACTGAAAGAAATGCCACAGACCATGTATTATGAAGTATAAAATCATTTATTACTTATTAGCTGCTGTTTCTGTTGCCATTGTTGTTTGTAAACAGAGACCACAAACCACAGCAGGAAATTGCAAAATGAGAATGAGTGATCTTGAATACAGTAAGTTGAAATAGAAACAATTCTGTATAACAGAAAAAAAAAACCTTGTTTAAAAAAAAAAAAAAAAAGGTTTTTTTTCTATTCTTTGAAAGATGACTGCAGAATGATCATTGGCAACAAACTGGCTGTCCATTGCCAACGTGCCACAGTTAAAAAAAGTACAACTGACGTACATGCACATATCAGCCGTATAGTGGACAGCAGAATGAACAAAGGTGATTGTGCCTAGGGGTGCTGGAAAACCAAACTGGCCTTTTGGAGATCTGTAAGATTGATTTTGTGAACTTCATTATCAATACAGTTTAAAATCTGTAACCCTTCTCTGTTCCAGTGTCCTGGAACAGAATGCCAGTTGAAATGGAATTGAAATTGGGTGAACAGGTAACACAGGAGGGTCCCAGTCCTCGGAGAAGACCATTTTGTGGTTCATTAAATCACAAAGTAGTAATGTCTCACATGGTGTTAGGCAGCATGTACCACAAGGAAGTGCTGTGTGC